ACTTGACACGCTTCTGTTGTTTTCCTTGAACAGCCATGTTTGTCAATTATTTATCAGTATCTTCTTGTCATTTATCAATCCCCCAGTCTGATCCGTTGTAAGCTATCTATCGTAGAAGGGTCATTTTACAATGCCACACTTTCTTCTGAATCTTGGAACGCTTTTTTCGCCTGACCAAACGTCGTCTGACCCCACTTTCAATGGGTGCATACTTGTCTTTCATAACATCCCTTCACACACATGATTTATCTGCTNGTTATTGTTTAATAATTTAAAAACCTCTATATCTAGTATCGATCTTTCCATTTTCCCGCTTTTCTGCTATCGATAAACGATGTTTGCGCGGGACATTAAAGGAGGCGTGGAAAAATAAGATAATTCTTGTCAGACTTACTTCTCTGTTGTACTCATATTATGTTTGTTTTAATTGAATATACGAGCCAGGAACAACGATAATCAATCTCATCCTGAAGCAATAGTCTGTCAGTTTGTTCAAATGTACGCCCTAAATTAGTGAGCTGATGACCAAAATAATTTATGAAGTATTTCACTTTCGATTATTCTTTGACTTTACTAACAGAACAGAAGATGAGACCACCGACGCTTCACAAATGTGGAAACCGATTTCCATCCAAAACTTGAATTGATCATTTTGAGTTGGTGCTATTGCTTCAGGACTTCGCTACCTCTCCCCGTATGAAGAAAAATTCATTTTGAGCCGGAAACAGAAAACTGGTTAATAACAACTTTAAAGTTATCAAGAGTGAACCCAGCGTGATTGTTTCTCTCTCTCTATATATAAATATATATATATATTTATAGAGAGAGAGACTACACTCAGCTCATTCCTTTTTAAGGGATCTGAGCGTTTTTTGGAGGCACACAGTGAAAGCTTGTCAGCTCCTTAATATAAAAGCAATATAAACACACACATTAAATCGTTATTATATTATAAAATACGCATTATCACTAAAACGTAAACAGCACACTTACTTTCCCTGTGTACGGGTAACTTTCTTCACTCTCAATTGGGTTCTTATTTAAATACCGGTAAGCGTTCTCCGCACTTCCTCCATTGCATCCATGATTGTGATATGGTGTGGAGCAGTCAATCAGTTGTTGTGCGGAAATAGTGATAAGTTTTTTACTTGCCAAAGCGTACTGACATTCAATGGCCCCGGCCGTGGCAAATGCCCAGCTGGATTGACACTTGCCCTACACATTCGGTACGGGAAGAGGGAACACGCCAAGAATAATTGTTTAAAATTGAAAGCGGGTTGATTGGTTGATGATTTGCAATTCAAATTTTTTTAATCATCTGTACAGCTCACCTGTGTCTTCACTCCGGTTACACACTTCTCGTGAACCCAATCCATGGCGTCTGGCGGTAACTTTCCGACCGTTTTAAACGGAATTTGCACTGGATCAGAGGGGATTTGTTCGGGTCTCCTCGAGTAAAGATACGTTTGATTGAACTCAGCCCATGTCATATCCGCAAACTGGTTCAACCGTAAGTAGTAACTCTCCAGTCCTTGCTCGTATCGTTTGTTATGCTTCGCCACACGTCTTGCGTTTGCCAACCAAACATTCTTTCTTTGAAAATCATGATCTTCGTTATTGTATGTCTTGCCGTATTTCAATTTCCATTCCTCCCAAGACCTTGGGCCGCCCAGATAATCTGTGGCGAGAGTAGTGTGCAGCAAGAGTAAAACAATAGCACTGTGCAGCAACATAGTGCTCCGTAGGTTACACAGGTCACAGCACGTAACAAATCTAACGCTCCTTAAATGCTAAAACATATTTATATGATTATCTCGATTCTTTGATGCCATCAGGTTGGGGGTATGTGAAGTTCATTTGCAGAGGTTTGTTCATACTGTCATTTTATGCGCGAGTGTCAATAGTCCAATAACGGTGAGATCAAGGTTCGAATTCCATCTATATATTATCACCATTCGTCAAACTCGACTGTGTTACTGGACTTTGTTTCCTTTTGGTGCTTCCATATTAAATGCTACCTATTTCACGGGAGTGGCTTAAATTTGACATTGATTCGACCTTCAATTCAGTAAGTATCGTCGATCGCTAAGGCCTTTCTTGTCTGATCATTTAGTAGTATAATTTAATGTCTCGGATCCTTATCAAAGTGTAATGTGCAATGTTTTTTCTGGAAAAAAGCAAACTGCTAAATGTTCATGATTTGAGTCTCGCTCAAGAGGAACGATCAAAACATAACAATTCCTAATGCGGGAATAGCAGACCCGACCTTTCTCATGTTGGTACTCACGGTGACACCAACGCATGCACATCAGTGATGGCCTTGTGTCCAATTTTGCTCCTAGATGATTTATTCGGTGGTTGAGTGAAAGGAATGCGCACACTTTATGACCCGTCATTTCATGTGTGTGAGTGAAGTTTAAATAATGCAACGTGCAATATTGAAATCAAGTTGCGGTTTTGCTCTGTACAGAATACTGTGTGCCCCGGGTTGTTTTCACTTTCATGGGGTCTAAAACGAATGTGACCCACACACCAAAAATTCGTTTAAATTTATGACGAACATGGTTACAGAAGTGTTATAGTTTCCGAAAACCTTCGTATGCTCCACTGATAAAAGAGCAAAGATCAACATCGCCGATTACCCTTCATGATAATATCAAAGTAACTTGGCGTTTCTCGATTCAATAAGAATATGGTTTTTCGTAGCACAATGCTAATACGGTGCCGAACGTCGCACAAATCAAAGCTGATTACTTTATTTTCAATACATCAAGACCGAATGATGTGAGGAGTGTATCAAAAAATCGATGTGCCATGTGTTGTGTCTATTGTGAATGTTATAATATTAGCAACATAGCGATGTCGATAGAGAATTATGTTCCTCGATGTTTCGGTTACTGCGGATAACGTTTTTCAATATTCACAATAAACACAACACATGGCGCATCGATTTTTCGATGCACTCCTAACATCATTTGGTTATGTTGTACTGAAAATGATCACCAATCGGATTACTCTGAGGAAACAGCTTGCTAACTGGATCAATCATCGTTGACTCAATCAACGTTGTCTACGATATAATGCGATTCCCGAATCCCTCCGCATCATTCCTCCGGATATATCTGTCCGCTCCCAAAGGGCTGCTTCGAAAGCTTCACGCACATTCCTACGACAACGGATTCACGACTGTGCTGTAATTATACACCCACTGTGTTTCAGAATTCGAAATCTGAATGAATATTTAAATAATTTACTGCTAACTCCCATTCTCCTTGATGTTACAAAAATAATCGAACAAAGAAGGGCACACGCCTTCGAATCATGCCAATCACGACAAAAAACGAAAGTTTTCAAAACTGGTGATAGAAACAGTAACCAAAAAAAACAAACACCCGACAATAACTTGTTATCGATCCGAAAAAGATCGCTAGAAACCTATCAATCAGAGTTCTGACGCCAATAGAATCACAACTACTCCAGAGGGGTCTCAATTTCAACCTCCACAGAAAATCCTTGACGGTGCAAGAATTTATCCTCGCTTTAGAACTGGCCTTATTCAAAATTCCAGAAAACAACGCCAACCAAGCACGTTTGGGGATATGTAACATTCTCAAGAACTAACAACCGATTGCTCCCAACGTCACATCAGATGAAGGAAAAGCATTGGCAACCTTAAAACGATATTCTTCAATTCACATCACAAAAGCCGACNCGACAAGAGAAACGTCACGGTCATCCTAGATATAGCAGATTACGAATCAAAAGTTTTGGAACACCATAAAAATGGACCGTATGAAAGAATTGAAGACAAAACGGTGAATGTCATTTTCAACAAAACACAAGCGTGTTCAGGCACATACCTATCAAGCTTGAAAGACAAATATGGTAAACCGTTTTGGGTTTTCATTGGCACAGACAGGGAAGATTTACGGTCTACCAAAAATACATAAACCGGACATACCCATTCGCCCCATTCTAGACTACATACAATGTGGAACTCATAAATTAACGAAATACCTCCGTGATCTGTTAAAACCGTATCAAAAAATAGTGGTAAGTCACAGCATTGATGCATTTGAGTTTTCTTGTATTTTGTAAAACACTAAACTTGAAAGTGACGAGGTTGTCGTCAGGTTTGATGTAGTTTCTCTTTACACAACTGTTCCCATAAAAGAAAGTTTAGATTTCCTACATTCTTTGCTGACATCTGATGCCACACAAGGACAGCGAACTTCTTTAACCCCATCAGAAATTATTACTGGTGTAGAAATTTGTCTAATGCCAACTTTATTTACTTTCAAACAAAATTTAATCGGAAAATCAGTGGTGTTGTTATGGGATCTCCCATCTATCCCATTGTAGCCAACCTCTTTTTCATTCAGTCGAATCAAAGGCACTCCCCAGTTTGATATACCATCACGCTTATAAGTAGGGTATGTAGACGATATTTTTGTCTGTATTAAGTCAAAACACACACATGCGTTTCTTAATTGTCTAAACAAACGGCGCAGTTCCATCAATTTCACAATGGAGTCAGAGGATGTGAGCAGTGTCATCAGTTTTCTAGACTGTCACCTCAGGGTGAACAACTCAAGCAAATTTACCACCAACGTTCACAGAAAATCGATACATTCGGATAAACTTTTACATCTTGAATCAGCTCATCCGAAATGTGTAAAACGAACTCTTATCTCCTTTCTGGCTGACAGAGTCAAAAAGCTATGTAATGAAGACAATAACCGACAAATGGAAAGGAAACGCCTCAAAAAAGTGCTAGAATAAATATTTATTCACCACTTCTGGTAAGACGCCCGCTAGAAGCGAACGCACCAGTGATACAACCTAATAACAAAAAGGACCGTGTGGCCTCTGTAGGCATTCCATATAGATTAGGCACTTCAGAAGCAATCAGAAAGATTCTCGGTGATTTCAACATATACACATTCTTTCGGGTTGACAACACTGAAACGCCATCTCATGAAATCCAAAGATCCGGTCGAACTGAAAAATGAAAACAACTGCACTTACCAAATCATTTGTAAAGAATTCCCCTCAGAATACATTGGTCAAACCAGTAGACAACGTAAGACAACAATAATAGAACATAAGAGAAAAGAAAAACATCGGCCTACGGACAAAGCAACTCTGGCAAAACTAGAACGAGACTCAGCGATCGCTCTTCACGCCATGGCCGAAGGTCACACCATTGACTACGACAACCCGAAAAAACTCCAACTGGAATTTCGAAGATGCACCGAAAGCTTGTATGCCGAGGCTTTGGCCATTAACACCTACTCTGCATGTGTCAACAGAAACGACGGAATCGAGAGCCCCAGCATTTGGACTACCCTAACGTCCCTAACACGTAATCACGATAAAGGTCACAGTGCCACTTGACCCCATCTGATAATGGGAGTTAGTATGACAGACAACGAATCATTCAGCCCACCACACATACACACACATACAAACATACACACGTACATACATACGATTAAATATCCATTGACTTCTGATCCTTTCCTCTGAATTACCTGATTGTAAGCCTGCCTTGAGAAAGGTCACCCACGGTAGCCGAAACGTCTGCGAGTATAATTCTCTATCGACATCACTGTTATTAACATTATAACATTCACAAGAAAGCTGATTAACTTCACATTCGAAGATGATAAGTGGTTTATAGAATCCTAAACAAAACGTCCACCAACAGAATGACCAAGAGTGGAAATATGAGAAAACCACGTATAGTGAATTTGCTCTCGTGTGATGGAAGCAAATGAAAGCCAATTCATCCATCGAGGAGCGGATAAAAATAAGCTTCTGTCAGTGGGAATTAATGAGTGTCAATAGAAGTTGCGTGTCCAGAAAAGTGGCAATTTGGACACACATGAATGAGATTGAATTGTTTAATTAGTCTCAAATAAAATTGTGTTTTGCTGTTGTCGCTGTAGTTGTTGTTGTTGAAATGCTCGTTTTTATGACTTAACTGCACTATGACGTTTCCTTTGAACTGGGGTTATCATCATGAAAACGATCTTAAATCAAATTGCCAGTATTAACTGCATTGGTTCAATATCGCCAATCTCGTTGCTGATGATGTGTCGTACTGAGTAATTTATTTACAATCTTGTAGTTGACAGTCAATGATGCTCTCTCATTTCTCTCACTTCAGCATTCACCAGTTCTTCATCAAGCAAAAATCCATCACATGATTTTACAAAATGTACGGAGGAACTATTTCTCATGATCCACAAACGGCAAAACCCCCAGCCTAAATATGAGCCGCGCCCACGCACGTATGCAGCCTACGTTTCTGTACAGCGTGCCCTCTATCGGCTGAGCTAACTTGTCTCGCAGAGGCGAGATCACCAAGTGCACAAACGATGCATCAAACACGGTAAAAGAATAAGTGACCAAATGTTTCAAAGAGTAAAAATGTCCAAACTACGTAACCAAATCTGACCTCTAACAAGTGAAACCAATTGGAACTCAGATACCCAAACTTTATGGTCTCCAAAAAGTTCATAATTCCGGGGCGACATTATGACCGACGGGAGAGGTGAGAAACTCCACTTTTCCTTCCGTTGCTGGTAAAAATGCTGAAACTGAACAGAATGAAAAACTGCGTCAGCACAATGCTTGTTTGCAAGCTGGTTATATATATATATATATGACGTTTTGTCCCAATCAGGTATAAGCGCAATTTAGCTCAATCTCTGACATTTCGAGCCCG